AGAGAGAGAGAGAGAGAGAGAGAGAGAGAGAGAGAGAGAGAGAGAGAGAGAGAGAGAGAAGTCATGAGATGGTAACACCATTGAGAAATTCTGTCCCTTGATTTCCTTACTAAATGATGGACTTCTTCTCTGGGATGATTGAGGTATGCACTGAGATATATGACGAGCATGGAACAGAGCTTGACACTCACAAGTTCTTTGTAAATGTGTTTATTCTTCCTATTGTGTAGCCTCTCATATGTGAAAGTTGATTAATAAATGCAGCAACAGGGCCAGTGAGAGGCTCTGCAGTTAAGAGTGTGTGATGCTCTTTGGGGGATCAGAGTTCAGTTCCCAACACTGGTGTCTGGCAGCACACAACCATTCATAACTTCAGCTCCAGGGGATCCAATGCCCCTTTCTGGCCTCCATGGGCACCTGCACACAGGAAGCATATACTCACAGTCACAGGCACACAAACACATAAATAAAAATAAATGCTGCTAATGAAAACAGCCACCATTCAGCCATGTTGAGCCTTTGTTGCCTAAGTGTGTCAACTGAAGTTTGTAATTCTGTGCTGGGACCACTTTTTGAAGCCATGGATAATAGATCTAGAGAGCACACTGCTCACTAGGCTGAGAAGTTCTCATTAGAGGATCAAGGTCTTCTGTCCTGGCTCTGTGTTCCTCACTATGTCACCTGAACTGACATTCAGAGGCACACTGGGGCTCTGCGCAGGCAGTGAGGGGTTACTCTTTGTATTGGGACAGGCAGGTACTCTGCCGCTCTGGAGAAAGATGCTAAAAGTTGCCTCCTGCTTTTCAGTATGTGTGGACTTGTACTTGCACCTTGTCCTTCATTCTTGCTTGGCTTCTTGGAAATCTAAAGCCTACATCTTGCTCAAGAATAATGATCATGCTTTCAGTTCAGGCCACAAAATTCCATCATCCCTTCCACTTCCTTCATGTACTGAGCTGATGTATTCCTAATCGTTTAGCATTGTTTCTTAAAGACTCTTTGGCACAGAGGGTGACAGAACCTTCAGTTCCACAAAATTACAAACAAACTTAGAAATCTCAACTGCTTAATACCTGGAAGTCAAAGTGATGTAAGTAGCAATGTTTTTCAAATTGAAAGTCATCCAAAACCCACATGGATCACTCAAAAACCAAAGAAAAGATAAGGATGAAGGAAAAAGATGATTAGATCTAGGATCCTAGTTTCTGTACTATGTTCAGGAAAGTTTTGGGAGGCAAGGACGTCAAAAGCCAAGAGAACAATGTGCTTTGTTGGCTACTCAGGAGGAGAAAGATGAAGAAAGATTGAATGACTAGGTCTTTGGCAAGACTCACCACTCACCTTGCTATTTGCCAGGGAGAGAAGTGAGGTGCTGTGGGCATGATTGACAGAGCTGGGCCTTTCACTGGCTGTATTTTCTCTTTAAAAGGGTGAGTTCTTGTAGAAGTCTTTGTTTCTCTAAAGGCTACTGGGAATCATCACTGAAACAGAGGCCTGTCATGAAACACCAGCAGTCTGATACAGGCTGATATGTGGTGGTGGCCAAGAAATCTGGGAAAGCGGCATTGTGATAAAGTTGCCTCTTATTTGACTGCCTTTCTTTTAAAATAGAAACTTCTGTTACTCACAGGAAGGTGCCAGCGGCTGTTTTTCTGTGCAAAAGTGCTTGATTTTTAAGCAGCCTATTTTTGTCATCCTTTCCCACCATGGCTAGAATTCATGTTGTTGTTTTGAGGGTAGCATAGGAATGATCTGGAATGTCAGTAATGTGGGCAAACGGATGGACACTGTAGTTTTCATGGCTCCTAGCCAATGTGGAAACCAGAGAAGAAAAAGTCACTTTTACAGTAAAAATTAAAGTAGCTGAATATAGAACAGTTGCTGGAAACAAATTACCATTTGAAAATGCATTCACTTTCAACATGGGCATTGAATATCCAAGGATGAGGTGCTGTACTAGGATGGAAAAGTAAAAGAAGAAGGGGAAGGAGGAGGAAGAGGAGGAGAAGAAGAAGAATTAGAAGAAAAAGAAGGAGGAGGAGAAGAAGAGGAAGAAGAGGAAGGAGGAGGAGGAGGAGGAGGAGGAGGAGGAGAAGGAGGAGGAGGAGAAGAAGAAGAAGAAGAAGAAGAAGAAGAAGAAGAAGAAGAAGAAGAAGAAGAAGAAGAAGAAGACTTGTTTTCTGAACTCCAATGAGAAAGTCATAAAGAAACACAAAGGGACCAGGAATGACCATGAGGGGATATGGTTCCTATGTGAGAGGTATATGTGGGATATAGTTGGAAGAGAGAAAGTGGCCATTTCTTCCAGTTGGGCATCAAAAGAGTCATGATTTCATACAGGAAGTAACACTCTACAGCCTTAAAGAGGAATAGATGTTCACCCTCTGGATAGGGTGTAACAGGCATGACAGGACGACATAGCAACCTCAGCAAGATTTTAGCTCCATGATTCCTTCTAATAAGATGGAAAAACGTGATTCAATGAGGATTTTCCCCAGTAAACAACACTAAGAATAGTACTAATGCTCTTGGCATGGTATTGGATGGTAATCACAGAAACACTGGGATCAGGAAGTCGAGCCTGGATAATTCTGTTGTCGAGCAGTATTTTGTACATTGTTGGGATAACTAATAACATTGGTGGCTTCTGCCGACAACATTCCTGTAGGACTTCACACCTTACCTTTACCCAAACATGTCACTAGATACTGCTGATGTCCCCTTGAGGGACAAAATTGTCCTTAGTTGGACCTAGGGATGTGACTCATGCCTGTAATATTAGTACCCATGAGGATGAGGCAGGAGAACTGTGAGTTTGAGCCCATCCTGAGCCACATAAATGACCTTGTCTCAAAACAAACAGATACACATGTACAACAATCAAATAAACAACAACTCAAAATGCCAATGAAAAAGATCATCATTGTTAAAACTCCAAGCAAATATGGTATGCATTAAAACTTGGGGATTGAGTGATGTAAGGATATTTAAAAGAATTTTTAAAATATTAGAGACTTGGGGGCCTTCATCGACTAGCTTGTGAGCAATGCTAACTAATAGTATATAAACAACTCCCTCGAGTTACCCCATGGAGACCTGATTCTCACCTGGGGAACAACACAGAGTTGATCATATGGGAAGCAGCATGATTATACCAGACATGTGAATCAGAACATCTGTCCAAATGATGTTCCATTTAGACCCTCTAATTGAAATCACTGTTGTTTTGCCCTACCTATGGAGTTTCTCAAGTGGTGATCAAATAGACTTTGCATTGAATTTTGATATAGGCATCGCTGAATGATGCCCTGAAAGACCTCAGTTCTTGAAGGAAATGTGAATCCATGAAGATCTTGAATAAATTCCCTAACTTCTCTGAATGTCAATTTCTTCTTTAAGAAAATGATATAATATAAAACATACACCTTCCAAGAGTGCTGACAACTATGAAGTTATTCGTATAAATCATTAGCACAGTACTTGTCATTCAGCAGTGCTTTATACATGTTAACTGCACTTTAGTATCACCAATATTTTCAGTCTGTCATGAGAGTATGACTATATTCTCCGAGAGCACCAAGATTGGATTCTTAATAGAGAGTGGACAGAAGGAGTCAGAAAAGGCTCCAGGGAATGGGAGAGATCCAGTAGGAATCCTGAAGACTGAATTAGGTAAATGCAGAAGCTGGGCAGAAGCTGGGAGACAAGGACAAACATTTGGCTGTATTTTCCCTCTGCAGAGATGATGTTCCCTCTAGCAGGACTTTGGCCAAATGTCCCATTTTCTATCCAATACATATAAACTTGAACTTCTTGCTCTCTCATATACTATCTTTCTTGCTTTCTGCTTTTCCTTGGCAATGCCAGTGTCTGGTGAGCTACCTACTAAATTGCCTGCTGCCTTTCTCACTCTAGAAGGTAAGAGGCACAGAGGCAAACATTTTCTCACCCTTGTTTACAGCTGTTTAAGTCTCTTTTAAATTTGAGAATAATGTTGAGCAAAACCTTGCAGTTCAATAAATGTTATTAAGTAAATGAATTCTAATCATGTGGGTAGAAACATGGAGGTGGAAGACTATCTCTTTGAGGAAGCAATCCAGTATGATCTAAGCATAGAAGATATGCTCTGAAGAAAGGAGAGGTAGAAGAAGCAACCAGAGACCTCACTACAGAAAGCCTTCTTTGACCTTGATATTTATCTGAGGAACTAGTAGGTTTTATAGGACTGGTCACATTTTCATGCTATAAAGCAAACCATAACATTTCTTTTTGTTGATCTTTTCTTAAATTTGTTTTGTTTTAAACAAAGGAACTAGACTAAGACAGAGAAATCATTCACTTCACTCTCATCTGTCAAGAGAAAAAGGATGAAGTTCTGATCTGGGAAGAGATACTGTGGATGAGGAAATACCTTTGGAAAGAGTTTGCTGAAGTGGCAAGATGTGATGACCAAGTAGACAAGAAAGGTGAGTAGAGAGCAAGGAACACAAGATTATTTTAGCTTTGAACTTGGGCATTTGGACAACCAAAATTAGTGCATAAACCCAAGGCTTGGTCCATGGGATGCTCTGCCCTGAGTTCCAGTCTGAACTGCAAAGACACAGCTGGGTGTGTCAGGACCTCCGTGTCAGCAGCTAGGACTCTCTACAACAGCAGGAACTGCATCCTGGAGAACCTTTTCTAGCTGTATTCCTCTCTTTTCTTTGTTCCTCTCTCCCCATTCATCCCCATCCTCACTGCATACTCTACCTTTGTTTTGTTTTGGATTAATCTAAGAATAAAGATCCTGGGCCTGGGTTTTGTAGCTTATTAGGTAGATGCTCCCCCAAAACACTGGTAGATGAGCCTTGAACATCAAATTGGGGAGGGAAAGAAATGAATAGTGAGTGAGTTGCTGAGCAAGTCACCATCAGCAGCAGTTGAGACTCACTTCCCATGGGGACCTCGGAGTGACTGGGTAGGACAAAAGTACAGTACTGGGCTTGGAAGCATCTACGTTATCTTCGGACATGTTATAGTTGTATAGTTATGGGCTGCACTCTGACCTCTAAATCAGAACTTTTGAGGACGGAGCCTCGGAATCTATCTTAACGAACACCCAAAACATGGTTCTTATAATACAAGGATTGTAAGCAGTGATTTAAAGCACACCTTAACAATCACCACAGGGACAAAAAGTTGAGAATATGTGTCCCTAGTCCCCTGTTCTTTAGGGCCTTAAAATAATGTATTACGGAAATGTATGGTTCTATCATAACCTTGAATCGACTAATGTGATGTTCTTTCAGTACTGAACAATGGTGTACCATGGAGTGCTTTTTTCGACTATATATAAACTTGGTTGAAAAGGTATATTTTCAGACCACTGTAGGAAAATTTGAAATTAGTTCTGGTCTACGTTTTCCCCCTCTGATGAGGCCTTACACTTCAACCTTCTCCATATTTCTTCTCATATCTGTGATCTCTTCTCTTGTGCTAGACCTAGGTGGATCTATAAGTACATCATTTATATGATGATGTACATTGAAAAAAGTTAATAGTAGCATTATACAGACTGAACAAATCATACTTATGTATTTAGGTGTGTGTGTGTGTGTGTGTGTGTGTGTGTGTGTGTGTGTGTGTGTGTAATAATGATCAATGAAAAAGAGGCCATGGGTTTAAAAGACAGTTAGGAGGGTATATGGCAGAGTTTGGAAGGAGGAAATGATGTCATTATAGTCTACTCTAAAAAAAATAAAATTTTAAAAATGAATAGGAGAGGTACATGGCAAAGTTGGCATATTTGAAATACAAGCTGAATGGCGGGCTCATTGACTCTTGCAGGAAGTTTTAAATAACCTTCAGCGATGTTCTGGAGGATTTTAGAAAAATGCTGTAGATGTAGAGGTCTGAAATCAAGATGCAAGCTGCTGGCTGACTAGAAGCTGAGGAAGAATCTGATAGGTCCTTTCTTATAATGTAGACATTGAATTTCCATAGATTGTTTGAATGGCCAGCTTTGAGAGATTCTTTTTTGCTCATGATATGGACATTCGCCCAATTGACAGGGCTAGTGAGTACATTAAGACTACAGATTTGCAAATAGCACTCTTGGGGAGAAATTCTAATACCTCATAGTAAATAACACACATCCAAACAATCCCTCTATTCTTACTTAACAAGGTGGGTGTAAGAGAGTCTCAAGCCTGAGGGAGGGAGGGAGAGAGAGAGAGAGAGAGAGAGAGAGAGAGAGAGAGAGAGAGAGAGAGAGAGAAGCCAAATACTAGAGTGGCCTAGAAAAGTCAGAGCAAACCTCCCTGACATCCTAATATTATCATTTTAGTTGAAAGTAAATCTGCCCATTTTTCTTTGTGGGCTCAAAGACAAACCCTCCTCAGTGACAGTTAACAGTAGTTTATTCTAGCAGTATGGAGAAGTCATTCCCTCAGCCTTCTCTCTTCTCACTTTTCATTCTCCCTAGGGGATGTCCCCCCTCGCTGATCTTTAAATATCACCCATAACTTGACAGATTCCAAATGTGTATCTTCATTGCAGTCATTCTTCTATCCTGTGCTACAGACTTGGCTATCCAACCAAGTGCTGCTTCTGTGCATATCTTAAAAGTCAACTTGTCTAGAAGGAGTTCCTGATCCACCTCCAGGGCCCCAAATTGCTCCATCTGCAGCTGCTCAAGCCAGAAATGTGGGAAGTGTCTCTGCCAGGCCTTTGTTCTCTGTATCTCTTCAGTTACTTAGGGCTGTTGATTTACATTGGAATCCTGCTTTGACTCCATCTAATTTCAGGCATTATACATCTTCCAATAGACAAATGAGAAATGTCTAGAATGGTCCTTCCAGTAGCCTGTCTCCAATCTTGGCAGTTAGGGTGAACTTCTGCAAATAGAACCAATCATGTTTCTCTAAAACTTAGTTCTTCAGTAATTTCCTGTTGTTTTTAAGATTAAGTTCTTCTTGGACACGACTTTCCACCCCAATGCTTGCTTCTCTTTTGCTTAAATTATATTCAAGTTTAAATGTTTTTTCTTCTTCTTAGGTTCAATCTGGGTAAATTACATCTCACAGTAAACATGGCTTTTCCAAAGCAAGCCTTCCCCAATCCTATATTTCAGATTGTCCATCTCATGATCAGCTGCTCATCTAAATTGCTTTTCAAAAAATATGTCAAAAGCGTAGTTGTAAGTTGTCATTTTATTTATTTATTATCTGTAGCTCAGACTATGTTATGGGTTTACAATGACAGAGACTAGTTCTACTTCGTAGACTACTGAATTCCTAATGACATTTTATAAAACTGGCCAGGAATTGAGTACTCAAATATTTATTGAATAAACAAGTAAGTGGATGCATGAATGATCTCCACCCCAGTTAAGTTCTAGTGTGAAAGTGACAAGGAAGTGATGTGACAATGTACCAGAAGGGTCAAGCGAGAAGACAGACTTGGTCAAGAAGTCTGGGAAGTTGGAGATGAAGAAGTCAAGACCCTTACCTTTTGTTCTGTGGTTCCTAAAAGGAAATGCAACAATCCAAGAATCACCTTCCAGTAGCAGCAAACAGCAAACCTGATATTGCTGAGTAAATGCCCATCATCCACCCAATCCAGAGCTCCTGGCAACTGTGCCTGCAGCACAGACCATGGACATCATTACCCCCACCCCCTAGCGGCATGGCCCACAGTCATCAACATAGATTCAGGCAGCAGCAAAGATTAAGGGAATCCACATGGCCTTAGGTGGCAACATGGACCACAGACATCAAAATGGCCTCCTATGTGCATACAGACTATGGACCTCAATATGGCCTCTGGTGGTAACACAGATCCAAGACACCTTCTTGGGCCTCAGCAGGACCATCACAAATATCAACATGGCCTCTGTTGGCAAAATAGCCTACAGACATGTGGCAGCACAGATCACTGAAATCCACATGGCCCTTGGTGGTAACATAGGCCACAGACATCAACATGGTTGATCAACAAAAATAAGAAACATGCTTCCAGCAGTAGCACAGAGTGTAGGAATTCACCTGACCTCTGATGGCAGCACTGGCCACAGACATTGACATGGCCTTGGGTAGCAGCACAGACCACAGACATCACAAGAACCTCAGGCCTCAACACTCCCAACTAGTTTCTTGTGTTTAAACAAAAAACAGTGTTTCTCTCTTTGCTGTATGATCAGTGACTGGGTTGGTTCTAGCAGAACATAACAGGGCCAGGACCAGGGGAAAATTGTAGGTGTATAATACTAAAATTACCAGTAGATGATTAGGAGATTGAGATGAAGCACTGATTTGATAAGATTCAGTCTGACTTAATTTTACCCATCAATATGATGGATAGTGTGGGAGGCCAGCTTTCACCCTGCAAAGGTTCCTATGAGGAGTAGAGAGGAATAAGAAAATATCAGATAGAAAGGTAGCAAAGAGGAGAAAGACAGAAACACAGGATAGCTTTGGGAGGACCTGTTCAATACCCAACGGCCCTTTCCATTTATTCAAAAGGACTTTTTATAACAATGTCAAGGGGAGGGGCAAAAAACCTCCCCTTTGCAAGATCAAAGCACACCATACAGCCAAGTGGAGACCCTTCCAAACACCTGGTAAACATGTCCATGGCCAAATCTTTATATGCAGCCCCACTGGATAAAGCAAACTCAGATTCTCAGACCCTGAGTAAATTCTCACTAGGAAACTTCTGTGGGTCTCTACAGGGTAGTCTCAATTAAGGAACTGCCTAGATAAGATTGGCCTGTAGGCATGTCTGTAGGGGATTTGCTTGATTGCTAATTGATGTAGGAGGACATGTCCTACTATGGGAGGCACCATTCCCTGGGCAGATGGTCTTGAGATGTCTAAGGAAGCAAGCTAAACATGAGCCAGGAAGCAGCATTCCTCCATGGCTTCTTCAAGTTCCTGCTTGAGTTCCTGCCCTGACTTCCCTCAGTGTCAGAGGTCACATGTAAGCTGAAACAAATCCATGTCTCCCCTTAATTTGCTTTTGAAGAAAGTATTTTTATCACAACAACAGAATGAAACTAACTAGAACATATTCCTAACAGGAATTTGGTTGTTATGAGAGTCACATACATGAGTTTGAAAAGTGAGGAACTGTAGCAGGTAAAGGAAAGAGAATGAGAAAACATATTAAAAAGGTGGTGGATTTCAGCCTTAGGCCCTCTTTGAAGTTTTTTTTTTTTAATTTTATCATAACTCCTTACAAATTAAATGAAATAGCATTGGGAAGGCACTGTAACATTGAGTTATATGATCTGGCACCAATACTTTTGTGTATAATGAAATAGGAAAGCCTTTAGTGAGGCTAAACAAAATTCTGCATGTCTAGGTATACCTGCGGAGTAGTAGAGGCAAGAGTCTTTAGTCATCAACTTTTCTGGGTGACTTACTTTAGATCAAAAGGGACAGTCTTAAAAAGAGATTTCTGCTTTGGTCCACAAGTGAGAAACAGG